CCACAGAAAAAAATAATGCTAGTGTATGTCTTTCGTCTCTATTCACGAAATGGCCAAGGCTCCGAATAAGTCTGCCTGCGAAGAGAACAAAACAAAACAAAACTTATAAGAACTCCTGAAAATTCAAGATTAGAACAAAAAACAAATATATGATCTCTGACTTACTCTATGATCTCTTTCCAGTAAGAATCACTTGTTTCATCATCAATTATGTCACGCCATGGATGATGATCTTCTGTGAAGGTTGAGGTCGATGAAGGGTTTGAAGTATGATCATTATGCTTCAAAATCTCCTTGTCCTTGATCATCATTTGGCTTTGCTTAGACTCATCAGGAGATACCGAAATCAACGGTGGAATCAAATTCTGATCATCTTGATGAGAAACTACTCGAATCGGGATAGAAAATGAATCAAGAGGTTGACTATCAATGTGAGAGAGGTTTTGGATTGGATCATAGAGATTTTCACTATTAATATTTGGTTGGTTCTCTAAGAAAGAAGATTGGCCAAAGAGATTATTGTTGGTGTGATGATGAATGTCAAAGGACGAAGAAGAGGTACTATTGTTGTTGGTGTTAAGGACTTGAATCATACTATGTAACAATTGAGCCTTTGCAATACTTGTTGCATCCAATTGTATATTTTGATTCAGAGTCAAGAGGTTGTTGAAATTTGCGGCAGCTAGAAGTTGCGGTAGAGCGGCTAAAACGTTTAGATGGTCGGTTCTTGGTCTATGGGTCACGGGATCGATCCCCATTTGAAGAAGTTTCTTTCTAATATGAGTGTTCCAATAATTTTTGATTTCGTTATCTGTTCTTCCTGGGAGATGACCAGCTATAGACGACCACCTTTAAAAAAGAAAGGGAAAACAAAATAACAAATTAAATGATATAATTTTTCGGTGGGTTAGTTAAGCCTTATACGTATTATAAAAAAACATTGTTAAGCTATAACGAGATAATTAATTATAGACTTGAAAATATTGAACATTGCCGAGCGAGTACGTATGAATGCACCTAGAAAAATCCAGTGTAGCAGGTTTTTCATTTGTATTCTTTTTATACCTCAACTGACCAAAAAC